GGGCCGGCCCGTGGCTCACTCGGGAGAGTGCGGTGCTGATGGCACCAAGGCCCCGGGTTCGGATCCCATATGGGGATGGCCGGTTTGCTCACTGGCTGAGCGTGGTGCTGACAACACCAAGTCAAGGGTTAAGATCCCCTTACCGGTCATCTTTTAAAAAAAAAAAAAAAAGAAAAGGTGGAAATTGAACTGGGGTGTCGAAAGAAGGCTCGGATTTGCAGAGAGGAGTTGGTATTCCAGTTGGATTCAGTGGCACTGCTTAAGACTTGAAGCTGGAGGTGAGGAAAGCTTGCTCAGGGAGCAGCAGAAAGGAGGCCTGGCTGACCCTGCACCTTTGCTTTTGTTTCCTGTCCTTGCTCACCTTCAATTTCTAAAGTTGGCTCTTCCCCTCTCCCATGACTGCTCCTTCCCATCTGTCACCTCACACAGGTTTTCACTACGCCAGATCAACTGCCTGCAATCCTTGACTGCCCCATCCGCTCATGGGTCTCTAAACTCATGTCCTGCTTTATCTTTTGCTTCCCTTTTAACCTCCTTTTTTAACATTGGCTCCTTCTGAAGCTGCAATATTCATTCATTAATCATTCTTTCATTCATTCAACAAATGATTATTGAGTGCCTGATTTGTGCCAGGCACTTTTCTAGGTTCTGGGCATACATTAGTGAACAAACCTGACTAAGTTCTCTGCCTTCAAGTAGCTTACATCCTAGCAAGGAGAAATAGATAATAAAATAAGTAAATTATGTAGCATGTTAGAAGGAAAAACTGATGTGAGAAAAAATGCACAGCAGGCTAAGGGAGGATTGAGAGTGTGGGGCTGGAGGTCAGAGTGTAGGTTTCAGTCCCGAATTGTTACCAGATCTGACAATCTTTTTCCAGTTCACCTTGTTCCACTGCTTTTGCCACTTCCCTGCCATCTTCCCCAGACTGAGGCCAGGCTCCACCCCCACAGCCTCATCTGCGCATTCAGCACTAATCCCTCCCACACTAATGAACTTTGAGATCCCATTGCCTGAATGGCATACGCCTTTGACTGGCATTTGAGGCCATTTGCAGTCTGACCTGGCCCATCCACTCCTACCTGTGTTGTCATCCTTCTGTGGACTCCTGTGTTACTGGGTTTTACCAGTTTGGGTGCATGTGGCCATGCTGACTTGAGGAGGACTTGCTCATGCTTTTGGAATTTCTTCAGCAGGTAAGCCCAGCCCTGTGTTTGGATTGGGACATAGAGATCAGTTAAACTTGGTCTCTGTCCTTGAGATGGCCATAGTGCAGTATGGAAAAAGGTTTCCAGCAGTTACAAGATATTGTGGTTAGAGTTGTCTCAGAGTTGTCCTCTATCCTACAGCAGGGAAGGCTTTCCAGGAGGGATCTGGGTGGAGCCCTGAAGGAGTTTCTCAGACAGTCAGCAGGGGGAAGGGCGCTCCAGACAGAGGCTTTTCCCTCAGTTATAGTCTGTGTCTCTTGAGGGCATCCTCTTCTCTTGCTTTGTATTTCCCATCTGCCTACCAGGCCGTTTGCCAAGATTAGATGTTAATAAGTGCTACATAAATCATTTGAAGCTCAGGGAGAAGTACTATATGAGGCTTGACGGCTCAGATGAGGCCAGTTTTTGGAGTACTTGCATGCTTGGGAGAGGAGATTGGCCTTGACTCAGCTGGAGGTAAGATGCACAAGGCCAAGATGGGGGAAGACTTCAAGGAAAACATTTGTCCTCTGTTTTGACCTCTGCCCACAGAGAGTCCATGTGGTCTGCTCCTGGTGGGAGCTCAGAGGTACTGCAAGGGGCAGAAGGTCCAGGAGGGGACCACAGAGGCATGTGCCTTTTGTGCTGGCATTGTGCGAAGACACAGTAGATCGCACAGCCAGCTCATGAGTAGAGCAGGGACTAGAACCCATGCCTCTGCCACGCCATGTGCTCTTTTCTTGCTTCTCTTCTGAGTGTAAGCAAAAGTGAGCTGCACAAGTGGAAATGTTTAAAAGCAGTTAAAGATGGAGGAGGCCATTGTGTTATAAAGGAAAGTTGATTGATCTAAGAGCCAGGAATCTTGGGTTCCTTGGCCCTTGAGCACATTATAGAAAGTCTTGAATAGAACTAGGATTTTCTAAGCTTCTAGTTATATATATATAACTAGGAATATAAATTAATATAAACATAAGCTTCAGTTTTCTTATCTGAAAAAAGGTAATAATCTATTGTGAGATTGTTGTGGAGGCACAAATGAGATGTAATGACTTAGCACAGTCTGATACAAAATAAACACTCCCCAAATGGAGATATATGTATATATATTTTATTTTTTTTTAAAAAAAAGAAAGGTTGGGTCTTGGGAGAGGACTGTCCTGTAGGGGCTGATTTGGGAGTCATTGTTGTGGCATGAAACAATGTAGTGTTGAATGTGGGTACACACTGAGAGAGCAAGATATGGAAGATCAGAACTTTGGGGGGTCAGCCAGTTTAGGAGGCTGGAGGAAGAGGCAGAGTCAGTGAAGAAAACCAAGCATAGGATTCAAGATAGAAAAAAACAGGAAAGTGTCAACTCACTGAAGCCAAGGAGGAGAGCACCAAGGAAGAGATACCTGGATAGCATCGTCTACAGCACTGTAGGCTGGTGAAGTGGGGATGGAGCAAAGGCTCTGGGTTTAAATTGGCAGAGCTGGATGGTATAGGGTAGAGCTGGGGTATCCTCTCCCTACCCTCAGTGGTGCCATGCATGTAAACATTGTCTTCCAGGGGTAGATGTGATTAATGGGGCTCTGGAGTCGGTCCTGTCCTCCAGTAGCCGTGAGCAGTGGACCCCAAGTCATGTCAGCGTGGCCCCTGCTACCCTCACAATCTTGCACCAGCAGGTAAGAGCTGGGGTAGGAACAGGCATGGTTGTGCCTTGCCAGGAGGGGAGACTGGGGGTGAAGGAAAGAGCTGCCAATAAGATGGGTGTGCCTCAATGCAACACAGAGGGTCGGGGGTGTCCCTTTATAACTGGGTTCCCTCCCTCCAGACAGAAGCAGTGCTGGGGGAGTGCCGGGTGCGCTTCCTCTCCTTCCTGGCCGTGGGCAGAGATGTCCACACATTTGCATTCATCATGGCTGCCGGCCCAGCCTCCTTCTGCTGCCACATGTTCTGGTGCGAGCCCAACGCTGCCAGCCTCTCAGAGGCTGTGCAGGCTGCGTGCATGGTAAGCAGGGAGGGTGGCGGGGTGGCGGCGTGACCCACATGGGGCTGGCTGGAGAGTGATTGCCCTGCTCACTTCTCTGCAGCTCCGCTACCAGAAGTGTCTGGATGCCCGCTCCCAGGCTTCCACCTCCTGCCTCCCAGCGCCCCCTGCTGAGTCTGTTGCCCGGCGTGTAGGGTGGACTGTCCGCAGGGGCGTTCAGTCTCTGTGGGGCTCCCTCAAGCCCAAACGGCTGGGGTCTCACACCCCATAAAGAAGCCCCCATCCTCATTCCACCTGCTTGTGTTGGGCCCCAGGGAACTCAAAGGTGTGGGGCAGGGAGGAGTCCTAGAGGCTATTACCAGGCCTCAGGCCCCCCAAAGCTGCCCCTCCCCAGTAGCTGGGGTTCCCTGCCTAGGGGCTGGGGAGGGAGAGATCTAATCCCTTCAGGGAAGTGATAACACTGGATTGATGACAGAGGAGCAGGAAGCAAGGCCAGCCCTGGGCTTTCTATCCCTACGTGTTTCAGGTGGAGCAGGAGGAACTGGTCCAGACCAGGCCTGGTCCTCATAGGGCTACAGGGGCAGAAGGAGGAGGGGACTGGTCCAGGCATGGGGCCCCTCCCCTCTGCTCTGCGAGCACCTCGCTGTACTGATATCACTAATAAAGTCTGTCTGCGCTGCTGTGTGCCTTCCTATGCCTGTACCATACTATTACCCCCATTACCTCCAACCCTTAGTTATGACCTTGCTCCCAAGGTCCCCTTGGCCTGCCTACTTGGAAAGAAGAAATTGGGACAGTCAGAGAGCGGTATGGATTCCAAGTCTCTTATCTTTATTTTTAACAGCCTAGTGGCATCAGATAGCAGCCACAGTACAGGGTGCCTGGCTGAGCAGCACAGGCTTGGGGTGACAGATCCTGTCTGATCTGCCAAGGGCAGTGTCAATTTAGGCCTCAGCTCCATGGCCATGAAAGGACAGTGGCCCCAGGACAGTCTAGATGCTGGGCACAGGCAGAGCAGCCAAGTTCCCTTCCATATGCAGCTAAACCAGCTCCAAGAAAGGAGAAGGTCCTGTATGCCCTTGCATACCGGGGGCCCAGGGTTGGGCTCCCCCACAGGACATTCTTGCCAGGTTAAACCACAGCAGCGCTCTGGGGCTTTCTTCGCTCCTTTCCTAAGACATGAACTTTCCCAACTCTGGGTCTAGGGGCCCTAGCAGAACACAGGCCGCGGCCACAGGCTCTGGACATCCGAGAGGCTCCCATCCGGCACCAGGTGGCGGCATAGAGCAGGGCTGTCGGCGCGGGCGGAGAGCTGGGCGCACAGAGTAGCGAAGCGGCAGGGAGCGCCGCATGGCTCCGAGGGCGGGTGACCCTTATGGTAGAGAAACCAGAAGGTCTGGAAGAGTCGCGTGTCGCCCCGCATGCGATATACCAGGTCGTGCCAGGCAGCAGGCAGCGCGTTGGGCAGCCCGTAGGTTTCTCGAGCCCTATAGAGGCGCTGCCAGTGTGGCGTGGCTCCCGGCGCGTTCGCCAGCGTCAGGTTCAGGATGTAGGTCTCGTGGTCCAGGACCACGTGAGAGCTCCCGGGATAGTTTCCATCTATTTGGTAGACGCGGTAACCTGCAAGGAAGGTGGATTGACTGGAGAGGAAAGGAGCAAAGGTAACTCCAGGTAGGGGCCACACATCCCGCCCGCCCCTTACCAGCCTTGGCTCCGACTCCCTTCCTCTATCCCACCAACTCCAGGATAAGGGAGGCTTCCTTCTGCCTCACTCACCAGGATTAAGGTCTTTGTAGGTGGTGGCACTGGGCGCCAGGAAGGCTACAGCCAGTGGTCGGCTCAGAGTCTCCTCATCATAGAAGACCTCAAATTCATCCACGTGAGTGTGGCCAAAGAACTGACCAGCCAGAGTGTTCTCATACCTGGCCAGAAGACACTAATTATATTCACAAGATTCTAGGGAGGGAGAGGAAGAGGTCCGGGGAGACAGGATGCTCTCTCCAACCTGTTCAAGTAAGTAGCCTCTCCACCCCTTGGGGCAGCAAAGATGGTGAGATGCTCTAGGGAATGTCCAGCCTTTAGACCCTTCATCCCCTCACTCCCATCCTCACTCCCACCCCAGTCTCCCTCCTACCTGGCTATGATTCGGTAATAATTCCAGCTCCAGCTTTTCAGGCAGTGCCCTGGGGGAATATGGCCAATTATATGCACCTGAGGGGAGAGTTAAGGGTGGTTATCACAACATCAAGGGGTCCGGGCAGCCCTGGCCAGAGAGAGGGGGAATGAATGAAAGGGCTTCCAAGGGTGGCCATGAGCTGAACCCCAGGGAACACTGTTATTGGGAGCACCAGAAAATCAAGTTTCTCTGCTCACAAGCTCTCCAACGTGATGGGAGCCTGCTTGTTCCCCAGCACCCGTGCAGCACCTACTCCACCATGTTTCCTCCACTCTCCCTCACTTTGTCTCCTCGATCCTCAGCAGCCTGAAGCTCCCCCACCAACCACTGGAGCTGTCCGGCGGGATCTGTGGAGTTGATCAAGAGCCAGAAGTTCTCACGGGAACAAAAATTCATATTGAGAGAGATGAGGCGGAGGCCAGGGCGTGGGGAAAGGGCATAGAACCCCCCAATTCTGAAACAAAGTAAACACGAGGGGTCAACACTTATTCATAATGCTGGTCCTGCATGCCCAGTCCTGTGCAAAGCATTTGGGTGGAGGGCAAAGGAATACATGACATCATCCCTACTTTCTAGGAGCTCACCTTCTAGCTGAAGACCAAACACTACTAATTACAGAGCCTGTATGACAGAAAAGAGAGGCTGGGACGGCAAAGGGGTTTAGGAGTTTGGGGGAGAGATAAAAGTGAGCTAGAGGAGGGAGCAAAGACCATTCAGAGGGACGACGACCTGGGCCTGAGGAAAGTGGGGAAAGTCAGGGATGTTAAAGAGGAGGGGAAATCATTTTATAGAGGGCTGACATCTGTGAAGGCACACACTGGGACATGGAGAGGCTATGTTGTTAGCTCTTAGAAGGAGGGTGGCTGGAGATGGGAGAAAGGAAAGGGGGGTCAGATTAGGGAGGAGCCAGTGAAGAGCACTGAGGATTCTTGCTAGAGCAGTCAGAGATGGGGCCCCAGTGTCCCTCCTCCCTTCACTTTCCTCCACCTTTCTTTTCCCTTCTCGGGTTCCATGGACTTTAAGTACCTGAGGGTGCGAAGGGCTTCAGCAGGCAGCCAGGGCTCCCATGACTTGGCCATTGCTTCATACAGCCAGCGGGAGGAGTGGTTGCCCTCTATGAAGGGAGGAGGGAAACCATTGACAGGTGTGCTCTCATGGTTGCCCACAGCAGGGTATACTGGCACTGGCCCCAAGAACTTCCTCACGAGGGCTGTGATGGTGGTCAGGGCCCGCAGCTGGTCCTGACGAGACTGTTGCCAGACATTATGGGCGGGGATGTCTCCTGTCCAGTACACCATATCAAAAGGGCCAGCTGGGCCCAGCCCACTCAGCAGGTTCTCCAGGGTCCTCAGAGGCAGGTCACACTTGCTGTACTCGCCCCAGTATCCAGCACCTGGTTGGGAGGTGGGTGGCAGGCCAGAGCCCCGGCGACAACAAAGTGGGTCTGCGCAGTCAGGGTCTGTACCCTCCAGGTAGTCATGATCCCAGTGCAGGTCAGTGAGGAAGAGGACACGGCTGACAGGGGCGCCTGGTGCTGGGGGGCTTGGCGGCTTGGGGGGCGGCTTAGGCACGGCTGGCAAAGAGATGTTCCAAGATGAGAAGATGTCCCAGTGCCCACAGCTGGAGCCCAGGAGCAGGCCACAGGCCTCAGATGGGCTGAGCACTGAACGTGTCCACACCTCCACCATGTCGTCCTCAAAGAGCTGGACGGCTGACTGGCACACGGCAGGTGGTGCTATCTTCAGTAGCTTGCACACCTTGATGGCCACAGAGCCCACCCGGGCTACATTGGGCTCCATCTGTGTTGGGACGAACAGGTGGCAAGAGGTCAGAGATGGAGCAGGGGAACCAGGCCAACCCCTCACCACCACCCTTCAGGCCTCCATGTCCACATTGGGGCTGGGCTGGTGAAGAGTCCTCAGTGCACCCCTGCCTCCCAGATATTGCCCTGTGACTCAGGCAGCACCAGGCCACGACTTCCTTTTTAACTCAGTGGCCATCAGCATTTCAGGTCTTTGCTTGACAGCTCGCTTTCTTGGGCATTGTCAGCACTCTTACTTCACAAAGGTCACAATGGGGTGGTGGTGGCTTGTAGCCATGGGTGTCCCCAAAGGTAAGCAAACACAGTAAAGACTTGTGGATGCCACCCTCTCCATCAGGGATGCACCTGGATTCCAGGGCACCTGCATTACCCCGGCCCCCACCCCAGCATCCCCTTGGGCCTGCTCCAGGGCAGCTCCTTTAGTGCTCACCTTCAGCCCAAAGTTGATGGCAGTGAATAGACCTTTGCAGACTGGGCACGTGAGGTTCCACCATCCAAAGGCATCCTGGAGATGGGGCGCTATGGGATCGAACCTGGCAGGATGGCCTTGGGCAGAAATAGGGAGGGCCCCTGCTGGGGCCCAGAGAGCCAGGGAGTCAGGCAGAGCCAGCGCCAGCCCCAGCCCTAGGCCTATCCAAAGGAGTCCCAGTCGGGGGGCTCCCGAGGACCTCCCCAGTCCCTGCTCCCGGCCAGACCTGGGGTGGCTCTGGCCAGGTGACCCTCCGTGGCAGGGCATTGTCAGGTTTCCCAGACAGGTCTGGTTCGCTCGTCCGGCCCCACCAGCCTAGGCCCAGACTGGCCCTCAGGGGCTCGGGCTGCTGTGGGGACAGCCGATTACCCTTCGCTGTAGTCGGCTGACTGCTCCGCGGCCAGCCGCAAGGCAGCTCCGCCCCTTCCTTTTCCTCTGGTCAGCACCAGCAGATCCTGGCGGCGGCAGGGAGTGCTGTCAACACTGCGGAGGCGGAGCGGGCGGGGCGTTCCCGGGACCGCCCCGGATTCCGCCCCAGACCCCGCCTCTCCACCCGTCCCCCGCCCTGACCCGGATCGCGCGGGCCGCGGCGGGGGACGGACGCCCCCTGCGGTCAGATCATTCGGGCCCTGCCTCGCAGTCACAGCCGCAGGAGGTCGCGCTAGCCGCTGCGCTCTGCTGTGGGACCGGATTTGGTATGTCTGGTGGAAGGTCCATCTGAAGCTCCTGGGCGCCTCCTCTGTCCAAATCTGCTTTCAGATTCCTGGAATAGCTGCCCGGCCGACCGGGGCATTTCGCTCGGGAAGGCAGGCTGGGGCAGGGCCTGGCAGGGCCGGGCAGGGATCCTCCCACTAGGTGTTTTGCTCTCGCCAAGGAGGCACCTCCCCTCTATTTCCCACGCATCAGCACCCTTGAATCAACCTGACTGAGAATCTTTTTTTTTTTTTTTTTTTTTTTTTTTTTAAATAAAGATGACCGGTAAGGGGATCTTAACCCTTGACTTGGTGTTGTCAGCACCACGCTCAGCCAGTGAGCTAACCGGCCATCCCTATATAGGATCCGAACCCGTGGCCTTGGTGTTATCAGCACCACACTCTCCCGAGTGAGCCACGGGCCGGCCCCCTGACTGAGAATCTTTGAGTCACATTTGTTTCAGAATTTTCTGGAGGGGACCCTGGGCTCATGTGGGGACACCCTTTCCTTCTTTTTTATAGATGAAGAAACTGAGGCTCAGAGATGGTGAGGTGGCTGAGAAGCTGTAAGGATCATACAGCCTTGAGGGCTGGAAACATGGGCTAGAAATTGGGTCTTCCTCCTCCGTGTGTCCACGATGTTAAATGCCAGCATTTATGGAGTTCTTTAAGATGTGGTAAGCACTAACCCAGGCACTTTATAATTACTAATCTTCAATTCTCACAACAACAATAGGAAGTAAGTATAATACCATTATTACCCCCCATTTTGCAGTTGGTGAAAGGCACAGGGAATTTAAGTAGAGGAACCACACTTAAAACCTAAGCTATTGAATTCCTAGAGTGTATCTCCAAGATCCACAGAGAGATCAAGTCCTTTCAGTTCTTTTGAGAATTTCTTCCAGGTGACTCTTTTAGCCCAGTTCTGTGGGCATCATCTCAAGTAGAGTAATCATATATAGAAAAAAAAAGAAAGAAAGAAAAAGAAAGGAAAAAAAAAAGGAAAAAAACCAAATACAGTAATCATGATAATAATTAGCATGCATTTTTGAGATTATGTGCTAGGTATTTTTCTAAGGGCTCTGCAAACTCAATCCTCACAACAAATTTGGGAGGTGTTATAATTATCCCCATTTTACAGAGGAGGGAAGTAGGAATAAATAACTAGCCAAAGATCCCATGCTTTGCTGTGTGGAGACCCACTCAGAACCCCAGAGTTAGTATAAAGATTATTTTAAGCTGAAGACATTTCATATTCAATAGATGTGGAAAAAAACCTTAGAGTTTTCCTTATTTGACTAACAGCAGAAACTTCTGAGAGATGAGGACTGCAATAACTTTCCTTTTGGGGAGGCTTCAAAAAAAAGGAGGGAGACCAAGAGAAAACCTACCATAAATACTCTCTCCAGAGGAGTTTTTTTAGCCCTGAAAAGACAGAAAGTCCACTTATATAGATAAACATCACAAGCTTTATCTCACCTTTATTCTGTTAAAAACCCATTTGTCTTTCCTAAATAAATCTATTTGTTTCTCCCCCTCCCTACTAAGTTAGGTGTATAAGACTTTTAACTTTAACCATTTAATGAGCCAGCTACTTATTTCATTGGTTCTTATGTTCATACAAATAAACCTTTTTCTCCTGTTCATCTGTTTTTTTGTTTTTCCTTTTTGTCAGGCTAATTCACAGGTCTCAGGCACTGAACCTAAGAGGGTAGAGGAAAAAGCTTTCCTCCCAGCTACTTCTTTGTTATAACTGTATGCTTGTGTTACAGGGCCCAAGTTCCAGGTCTGGTTGCCTGCCCCAAACAAAAACAACTCAGAAGTCAAGTGTTGGTGGAATAGGAAGTGAGCTTTTATTCAGGAATACTGGTGAACCTGAGGAGAGATGTTAGGCTAACCCGTATCTCTGGTAAACCTGAAGGAGAGTGGTCAAACTAAACCCATCTCCCCAACTCGGATTTACAGATGGGTTTTTAAACAGGAGACTGATGGAATGGAATATGGGAAGTGAAAAGCAGGAGGGAGGGAGATGTGAGCTGTGGGAGCTCCGTACAAGGGGCCAGGTGCAAGGTCTCACCAAGGTTCCATCTGGTTTATGTTGCCATCTTTGATGTTATCTTAGGGTCCTGCTGAAGGAGTGCAATCAGCGTAGCTTTATTCATGATGTCTTCCTTGGTTTCTCAGGGTCTGGATTGTATGTATCTCATGGCAAGTTTGAAGCTTCAGGATGACTGGAAAACAGCTTTACATTTATGTAAATAATGTAATTTTGCCCTGTAACCAAGGTTCAAAATATCAAATAACCATGGGAAAAGAGGGAATTCAGAGAATGCATGCTAAGGAAAAAAACTGTGTCTTTTAAAAATTTGCCTACTGCCCAGGTGGTTTTAGGTCCCAATGTGGATTCAGTCCTTCTCACTCCAACACCTGGATCTAGAATGTCTGAGTCTTCAAGCGTTAGAATTTCGGCAGAGGGAAGAGGAGGGATGTAACGCACAAAGCAAGAGGCGTGAAAGAACCTGGTACATTTGCTGTGAAACATAATTTCCCCTTTCCCATTTTCCTGTCAGGGATTTCAAGTAACCTAATTTCTACTCTGAATCTCTGTCCTTTATGTAGGAGGGCACTCATGACCCCCCGGATCCAAATTCTACCTGTTCTCCAAGACCTTAGCCCATATCCCATCTCCTTAATTACATCTTTCTTGAGCATTCCCTCCTTTCTCATTTGCCCAGTCTTTTTTTACACAGTGTTTTTATACATATTATTACTTTTGATTGAAACATCATTTGCTGCATATCGTACACCCTTATCCTTCGGGGATAGGTGATCAAAACCCTCTCTTCCCCTGACATGGATGACATTGCTCTTCAGAAATCAGGTTCTGAGATACAGGCTAACTTGGAAGATAGTTATTAAAAAGTGCTCTTTGAATGAACAACTATGGAAGGAAAGGAAGGAAGCAGGGTTGGGTAGAGGATTAGGTTCATCTGTGATGCTGTCTCACAGAGGCCTCACTGGACCTTTGAGAGCCTGAAGCTGGGATGACCCTTCAGTGTTGTCCTGAAATGGGGTGAGAAGGCTTGCTTCTGATAACACAAAAAATCTGCTCTGACCAGCTCTGACCAGCTAAATGACAGTACCTTGGGAGATCTGGGATAAGTCAGCAGTCATGTCTGCATGTCCTGGAAAATGCTATCGTGAGGCCATTTTCACTTAGAAGCAGACATGATGACACTAGAAAGTCATAAAATCTAGAATGCTTCTTGTAACCCTTACATGTAGGATGTAACCTAGTAACAATCCCAAACTATACATCATATACAAACAATAGTAAAACTGATGTACTGATTAGAGAGGGGATGTCGTCTTTCTTTCTCCTTTGATTCTTCCCTTCTTGCGATTAAAATGCTAAGCTCTTCTGGCCCTCTTCAGAGCACATTTCTCAGGGTGACCTGACCTATGTGTTTCCCTGGTTGCAATCGTCTTATTAGCTCAATAAATCCTATGCCTTATATGTTTCGCCTTAGTTTCTTTTAGGTCAGCATTGAGACCACTTCAAGCTGCTGGGGGAATAAGTCCTTCATTCTTGAAGGGAGATTCAGGTGGCACACCACATCGTCTTATTAGCTCAATAAATCCTATGCCTTATATGTTTCGCCTTAGTTTCTTTTAGGTCAACATTGAGACCACTTCAAGCTGCTGGGGGAATAAGTCCTTCATTCTTGAAGGGAGATTCAGGTGGCACACCACAGTGTCTACCATCATCTATCTCTTGTGCCACTGGATCCACTTCTGGAAGCAGATCCTCCAGCATACTAGTGAGTCTCTGTTCGTGGCGGAAACTTAGAAGAAGAAAGATAGTGGGAAGAATTACAGCCTGCTGCAGCTGATCTCAGGACAGCAACCGATACTCACTGTTATCCACTTATATCCATTCTAGACTTCCTTCACCCTCAGCCAGCACCTCTGCTGATTTCAATAGCTTACTTGACCCAGACTTTCACCCCTGAGGTGTCTGAACCCTGGTATCCGTGCTCTCCGTAAGCCATATCTGCTGCACTTGTCTTTTCACCATCAAAATAGGGCATGGGAGTACCAAGGGGCCCCCAAGTGGACCAGCTGAATGCCAGACATATTTCCATGCGTTTCTACTGTGCAACAGCTGTCCTACCTCCTCCTGGCAATCAGGATTAATTCTACAGCCACGATGGTCATGTCTCTTCTTGCCTGCTGGCCTCTTCACACAAGGAGCCCAAAGTTACTAGGCAGCAGCCATACCCTTTCCCCTGCTGGACAAATTTCCCCTTTGGGAACCAGAACCTCTAAACCTGCAGAGCCTAGAGTTGTAGAGGCAGGAAGCACAAATTTCCCAAGTGGGTCACTGGGCATGATGTAAGCAGGGCCACTCCTGCTTATCCCTTGGTTCTGGACTCAAAAGTTCTACCTATTGGGAACATAGCACCATATAAGATTGTTACTTTAAAGTGTACACTGCATGCTGGAAGATGGCGCCCTGTCCTCCCTTGGTATTACTTCTGAGCTTGCGTTTCAGCTATGCATTCACCAGCTCATTCCATCACTGTATCAGACTGGCAATTTCTGGTGGTGTGATATGTAACGTGACCACTTGATCCCATAGTCATATGCCCACTTTATAACTCTTTTGCTGTAAAGTGAGTCTCTGGTCTTGCACAACGGGATCCCATGCCTGTTTCTGAAATACTCTGTAAGCCCACAAATAATAGTG